TCAATAACAACAACAACATTACCATCGAAAAATAAAAAACGGTTTTCTTTTATTCTATGAGACAAGAATTTTCTTGTTTTGTTCTTTTTCGTTTTTTTCATTCCAATTTAATTAACTAAACATACTGATTTGCATAGCAAAAATCTTTTATAGTTGTCGCTCAAAAAATATATCAATAATTGATCGTTCATTGTCAAGAAACCATTTGATAGAGAAGAAGTAAATGGTAGTAATAAAGAAAAAAGAACGAAAGAAAAAAAAAAAAGTTCAAGCTTCAATTCTACCTTCTTTTTTTTGTTGTATTCTTAATAATGTTTGGAATTCTATATTATTTAGATCAAAGTTGAATAGCCTCTGGCCTCTATTTTCTCAGGTTTGTTGAAAATAGAAAATTTGTGCTATATTCATTGTCAAATTATTTCATTTATAATTTGATCGACTTCTCGTCTTAAAAAAATTTCTTTGAATTTTTTTTTTTCTAGATTGAAAATTCATTGACAGCTTCGTTTTCAATAGGGATCATTGAAACAATTAGTTTATTGTATATGAATAAAATTGACATAGAAAGCTGAGAATCAATAGAATTTTTAATATAAAAAATTAATTCATCTAAAAAAACTTTAACTGTCAATTCCAGAAATAAATTTTCATCAAATACATTATTTTTATAGATTGAAAAAAAGAAGTCTTCACTCACTTTAACTTTCACAAAATTTATTATGTTAACAAGAACATACAACTTTGGAATATGGTGCACAGTTCTCTCCCTGTATCATCAATGATATTCATTCTGCTTTACGAAACAAGCTTTGATACCAGTAGCGAAATCAAGGAAAGTTAGCAAGAGCTGATGCGAGGATCTCTTCAGCTGTTTCCTTTCGACTGCAATGATTTTTCAGCCTATAGATACTACATAGTATTCTAATAAGAAGCTTTATTATCTATGAAAACGAGTCTATAATGTGAAAGTTTCATATCTTGAAGAAACTTTATTCAAAACTTCTGAATTTTTTTCATGGAAGCTAATTTAGTTAACTTCTCTATATGCATAAAGTTATAGATGAAAATTCGAACATACGAGTTCTCCAAAAAGTCAAGCTCTCTACAAAAAATTTCATAGCTTAGTCAAATATCCATATGATTCTAAATCCTTTCAGAGTTTTTATTCGAACACTATGTAATATCTATAGACGAAAAATCATTGAAACCGGAAAGGGGTAACGGAAGACGTTCCCTCGTAAACCGCGTTCCCATTAAGATGGCCGATATTTCCCCAGTCGAACTCACACCAACTAAACTTGGCCACAAGTCTCTCCACTAGGCAGAGCCCAGTCATCCGAGCTTTGTTCTCCGACCAGAGAGTCTAGTCATTTTAAGCCCGCCACAGTCGGAACCTTGGTTACACAATCACTTGCAGCTCGTTTTGTTAAAAATATAATCAATCTGGCAACAACTAAGGTATTTATATCTTATTTACTTCTATTTTATCTTCTTTTCTTCGCAGAAATATTTTTGTATGAAAGAAAAATCAAATGGCGCGTTTTGGCTATTTATATGTTTTTTTTATGTACTAAAAATGATATCGACCGGATAAATTGAATTATTTTGTTCGTTTAATTATATACATACACATATGTCGAACAACGAACAAACAATTCAATTTCCAGTTGCTCTTAAACCATTATTAACCGATTTTGTTGTTAATGTTTTACGTGATCGAATACCATCCGATCAATTATCTTCATATGCTGTACAATATTTTTCTGAAAGACAAAATACACAACCATATGTATCAATAATTGATGATAATAGAGAACAAACAGGTATATTTTTAACTAATCAAATAAATGGTTTAGTATCTGAAAAAAGTGATGATAGTATTAATAATGAAAAACAACGACGAAAATCTGTTTGGGGTGGTTCACCGGTATGATAAAATAATATTATAGATATTTCTTAATTTTTCTTTTTTGTTTTTTTAAATAAATATAATTTTTAAGGATCCCGATCGAGATTTAACTGATAAAATCGTTATGAAAAATCCTGATATATTTGAAAAATTATGTAAAATTGTACAAGATACAGTAATTTATGTTGGTGATGATCCATCACTTGTTAAACAATTTGTTAAATATCTTGCACCAAAAAATGTTTTTAAAGGAGAAGAAATTATTCGACAAGGAGATGAAGGTGATTATTTTTATTGTATTGAATCAGGCAAATATGATGTTGTTGTTAATGGAAAAAAAGTATCAGAACTTGATAATAAAGTAATTAATCAAGTAGTTTTATTTATATATAATTTATTCAATTGAATATTTTAGGGATGTTTTGGTGAAATTGCTTTACTTTACAGGTATGTAGTTTTTCTTTGTATATCAAGTCTATTCTATATATATTGATTACAGAAAAATATTTGATAAAATATTTATTTTCGGAATAATATGTGAAGAGACATAGATGTATTTTAACGAGATTCCTTATTGAAATATGAGGAAAATATACAATGAAAGCATCAGACTGGATTTGGTTATTTCAGATGAGAGGCCTAAGCCGATTGGCTAAGGAGCTTCCGTCAGCACGTCAGCCATACCATACTTTTAAAAAAAATACGGAAAACTTCCAACTAGAGTGGAAAGTTAATAAAAAAAACGTTACGCATTTCCAGTTGTTGATTAACTATCTGATGGTTTTATTTGAATCTCTTTTTCCTTAATGTTAGACTTCAACTACAATCTCAATCAAATACTTTTTTAAAAGTTTATTTTCTCTCATTAGATGAGAAGCTCAAGGCTCCGATATGATTTTCATTCGACTGTGCTTTACATCTGTTTAGTCCTTCGAGTTTATTCTTACCAACAAAAAAAATCTGAACATCATTTCCGGTATAATCCTTGGATAATAGAAATTCATATCATTAGTGCGTCAATCAGAGTTACTCATACTTTCAATGGGACTACCACTTTCTGTAAAATTATGCTCCTTCCATTTCATTCGACTTATGATCTTCTGAATCATCGTCTTTGTCCAAAACTGTACTTGGAAACTTCATTGATGTCAACCATCGATGGCGGAACATGAGCGAAGATCAGTTGTTATCTGCCATTTAGATGAAATACAGTTAGTGTTTCTCTTTTTTTTCAAAGGAATATTTTGCAGTGTATAACAGTGATGCAAAGCAGAGAAAAAAGATCGCAATTTGCATAACACGAACATGCTTCAGAAGAAATTTCTGATCTGTTTTCCTAGAGGAAAAAATTTAATGATGAAGCCGCGATATCCATGAAAACAAATATTCCATTGTGACTTTGTACACTGTTGAAAATGTTTAATAGGCATGTAATCTTAGTTGCTGAAGGCGAAGGAAAATCTAAGCAGATTCTAATTAATCTGACTCAGATTTTCCATACAGTTCTTCTTTACTTCAAGTCATTGTTGATACATGGTTCAATATTTACGTATAAAAAACTCAATATCTCTTCAAAAGCATTTTCTAAGTCTGTTTGATACGATCATCTAGAGATTATTTAAAAGAATTTGTATCATTTGAAATTGGTTTTTAACTTCTCATTTGATTATAAGAGCATTTTTTTTTAAATTCAATATTCATACTTCGTTAGGTTGATAGTGAAAAGTAAATCAATTTTTTTTAAAACTCTAAGCCTTCTCAGAAAAAACTTAGGATAGAAATTTTGTAGCTTCACGAGTTGTCTACAGAAGGTATCATATAATTTTCAAAATGCTGTATCAATTCAGAATTTTTTTAAAAGTAAAATGTATGAAATGAAAGTCGATTATCTTTTTTTTTGTGTCACGTCATTAACACTAGTATTTTTACTGATAACTCCTCTGAACAATAATTTCTACTGCTGATTTTTTTTTCAGAGTATCTAGAACAACCTATCATACATATCATATATAAAAATTAATTCTAGGAAAATTTATTATTTCGAGATATACATGTTTTAATTTGGTAAACTCACATCGTTAACAAATGATTTTGTCCGAATGTTTTTTTTAGAACATCAAAATAAGATTCTTTTCTGTTTTTCAGAAGAAGAAAAAAACTAAATATATTTTCTTGATCATTTTTAGTCAACCACGTACAGCTACAATCATAGCTACAACCGATGGAAAATTATGGTTAATTGATCGAGATACATTTTCAACATTAACTGTTTCATTTGCTATAAAACAACGTGAAAAATATTTAAAATTTCTTCATACAGTTAATTTTATTCAAACATTTTATTCTCGTGGTTGGTTAAGTGATAATCGTTTAGAAGATTTAGCTGATGCACTTCGACCACGTTATTATACAACAAATCAAATTGTTATAGAACAAAATGATACAAATGCATATGAAATGTTTTTTATTGAAGATGGTTCAGTTAAAGTAACACGAAAAGAAAAAGATGGAACAATACATGAACTTAAAATACTTGGAACAGGAAAATGTTTTGGTGAATTAGCATTACTTGAAAATAAACCACGTTATGCAACAGTTACAGCACTTGAAGAATGTCGTTTAGCAACATTAGATGCTAAATCATTTGAAAATTTACTTGGAATTGAATTAAAAACTAAACTTAAAGAATTTGTTGATAAAGAATATGCAATAGGAACATTAGATGATACAATTCAAATACAGAAATAAAAAAAAAATTTTCTTTTTTTATTTTAGTTCTTTTTTTAGATAAATTTTCTCTCTTTCTTTTTTTTCTAACCAAAGACAAATGTCACAAGGACATAAAACAACGTAAGGGATATGAATTTAATATCTTACATTAAATGAAGTTTTTCTAAATATTTAGATTATCATATGATTCAACTCGTGCTAAGGGAGCTGTTCAGATTATTGAAAGAGCTTGGTGTCGACATCGTGATAGACAAATGTTTCGACTATTAAAACATGCTGTATGTGCTGCTGAACATGCTCTATCAAATGATATTCTTCGACGATTATCACCCCGTGAAGCTGAACTCTTACGTGATCGTAGTATAAGTGCTAAAGTTAAATTTCGGTAAATATATATTTGTAAATTTTTCTTGAAATATTTATTCAATTAAAAAATTAATACACGTAGAAAATTGAAGAATTCATTTTTTGGATATAAAATATGATCATTATAAAATTACAATTTGTTTCTTTTTTTTAGTTTCGGTGGTGTAGAATTTCCACCGGTGATTTATTTTAAAATTTATGTACGTAATTTTAATGGTGCTCTTCCAAAATATGTTAATGGTAAAACTATTATTAATGCTGATATGAACGTATATAATAATTATTCATAGAGATTCAAATATTTCTTTACTATTATATGTAGAATAGGCTCGTATAGCTGCATGTAAACAAATGGGACAAAGAGTTTTCTATCAACAAATGTTATCTGATTCATTACAAGGAGCTGATGGACGAGCATCAGATGAAATTGATGTTGTTACATTAAAAGATTATATGCAAGTGAGAAGACAAATTTTTGTTTTCTTTTTCTTTCTTTTTTATCTTAATAAAATTTTAGTATTCAAGTTTACTTGATGAATTACCATCATATCTTGGTGGACGAGCAAATAATTGGCGACGATTAAATCTTGAAGGTTATTTATTTAGTCATATATTTGTCGAAGTTGATTTTAAAATGTAAACTAGTAAATTTTTATTGAATAGAGAAAATAAGACTGAGCAATGACATAACAAGAGGTCTAACAATTTTTACATTTTGATTTTTTGTTTTTATTGCTATGACCTTACGCACAGCGCTTTCGTTTTTTTTTTCTTACAATAACATAGATTTGCGTTGCAATCGTCGAAGTAAAATCTACAATATGTATTTTTCTTTTATGAGTAAATTGTAGGTCGATCACCAAGTTAACCAATAGTAAAATGTCTTTTGCAAAACATGATCTAAAATGAGAGTTGAATATATAGAGTAAACATTTGCATCCCATCCTTCACAAACTATGCCAGATGTCACAGTAACACACCGCACATCAATAAAGTCTCATTATAATATATTCACTACTTCTTAATTACATTTCTGGAGGATTAAGTAAAAGGATGATGAAGAAATATGTCCCAAAATGGATAGAATTAAATAATTTCCTTGTGCTTAGCAACATTATTTACATTGTGTTTCATATTTGAATCCCACACCCAACCTACAAGAAAAGACTTCACACCAATGGAAAATCATGAATTATTGGTTATTGCATAATATTTTTTCGTTTCTACATTTTAAAATCAACTCGTTGACTTTAAAATTAAAGAATTAATGAACGCGCTATCTTACGCAGGAACCCCTCTAGTTATCAAATCGTCGTTCAACCAAAACGATGTTCATTTGAAGAGTACTAGTGAATAATAGAAAAGTCTACAATAGTTTTGTTTTTGCAAATCTTCGTTTTCGAGATATTGAAACTTCATTAGGTTTTTCAACAAAATGCTGTAGTTTTCCTAATCAACTTTCAAATTTAAACTTTCTACGAACAAACTTTTTAATAAGATTAATTGATTATACAAGTTTTAGTATTTTCCTATCCTGAGATATTCTGTATTCGAAATTCTTTCATGTGTACAAGCTAAAATTTGCATTATCAAATAATTTCATTAAGAAGTTCGTTCGTGCAAATTTTGAATTCGAAAGCCGATTTAGGCGAGACCACAACATATTGTTGAAAAATTCAGTAAAATTTTGATATCTCAAGAACGAAGGTCAGAAAAACAAATCATTCTGAACTTTTCTATTAGTACCTGACACTCATCACATGAACATTATCTCAGTCGAAAAGCGACTTGACTACTGTAGCGGCTTTCTCATTAATTTTAAAGGCCACTAAACTTTACAGTAAACTCCAATATATTTATCTTTTATTTCTTCTCAATAGATATTCCAAGACATTCGGTCTTTTATGATATTATTAGTTATATAGAATCAGGTCACATATCGCCTGATTTACGTGATAGAATACCTATGCTACTAACTCAACCAAATGCTCATTCAGTACAATTACAACATATTGAATTACTCAAACAGATAAAGTAAAACAACAAGATATTTCAATAGTTATTGTTTTTTTTTTTTTTGTTTATGTTTGAAATTCTATTAGATCAGCAGCATCATCACGAACAAGTCGTACATCGGGTACATATCCAAAAAAACCATTATCAACAGTACGTCGTTCTCGTCGTGCAATTGAAAATGCATCAAAAATGCGTCAAGCTTATATAATGACACGATCTGAATCATTACCAACAACTCTTGTACTTCAATATGAACAACAAATAGCACCAAATATAAATGATAATGATGAACAACGTCATCGACCAGATAATACACCTATTGCAAAAGATGAATTTAATGATGGTGAAGTTGATGCACTTTATGCATGGACTGAACAACTTGAATGGAATGAAGATTTATTTAAAACAGATCGAATTTCAACAGCTTAAATAAAAAGAAAAAAAAAAATTCTTTATTTTTTTTCTCTTTTGTGTATATATTTAATGCTTCCTATCTGTCTGAAACGAGATCAAAAAAAAAACAGAAAGAAAGAAAAATTATTATACATAAACGAATGTGTGAGTTGAACAAATGAATGATTGACTGACGATTGATGTTATATGCATATACAACAGCTCGTCTACTTCTTTCTCAACATGAGATGAGTCGATTAAGCGATTAATTTATTCGAATAGAGAAAATTGAAATAGGATTAAGTGAATAAAACAACCAATAGGCAATTATAAAGAAAGAAAGAAAGAAAAAAAAAACAATTCAAAGTGGATTATTCAAATAGATCAATTAGATCAATGTGTGAAATAACTAAATAATTGTTATCAAATCTATCATTCAAAATAACATAAGAATTACTTAGATGTACATTAGTGAAATTATTGAATATACAAATCGAAATAAAATGGAAGAAACAACTGCAAAAGTTTTTGCGCGTTTACATCATATGAAAAATATTCTATGTAAAACATTTAAAAGTAAGTACGATATAGTTTGAAAGATTATTTCACTACTCTCAAACAAAAACTGAGACAAAAATTTCAAGTTCATATTTGAAAAGAACACAATATTATAGCTTTTCACTCTACCAGAAGAAAGAAAAACGTCTTAATTATCAGCATTGCCATTACATTTCACGGATTCCTTCCAAGATCATAGGGGACAGTCCTATCGGTTACAATCTCTTGGTTACATCTCTATTAAGAGATGAAAAATTGGAGAAAAAAAATAAAGATTCATCTTCATAGATCAGAAGCAATTACTCAAAAAAAACAAATCTATTTTGTAAAACGAGAATTCAATGAGTTAGAATAATTGAATGGATATTTGAGAGAAATTTATCCACGATCTGACGAGAAAACATTCACAACTATTTCAAACCCTTTATGCTTAAGACTTTTGTAATTTGATTAGTGATAATGATTAGTTAAAAAGCGTTTTTTTTTTTGTTTGGTGTTTCGGTCATCACTTATTGAGTTATAAGCTTTATAATCATTAGAAACATCTGCATAATTAAGCTAGAACGAACATATCCTTGATAAGATATTTACATTTTTTGAAGAAACGCCTGTTATAGATTGTGCTTCAAAAGTAGAACATTTCTATTCCCAGCTCATATCTTAATACAGATACGTTCATCCCAGCTAAAACTTTGAAGTGTCTCTAGTGGCTAGAAAACTTATAGACAATATTTCAGATGGAAATTCAATCATACAGATTTTCAGCGATTCTATGTTCATAGGGCGAATATTGAATAGAACATTCATACCTCGACAAACGAAGACTGGAATCCCCTAGCTAACATGACCAATCGAATGACAATAGTCTAAAACTAAAAGCAATAGGATTGTTGGCAAAGTTTCCTCTTGTATTATTAGTTGAGCAGTTCATTACAAAATCAATTTTATATTTAAGTGCTGTTTTTATTAATAGTTGATACTATAGTCATTCAAATGAAAGTATACCATTAGATCATTCTATATCATTCAATGAAGAAAATGATTTATGATAGATGAAACATTGTGAGGAATAATTTTCTTTTTTTTTTATTCTTTAGAAACACCTCAATTTTGTGGTGGTATTTCTAATCATAATGATACATATTATTCTATGACGAATGATGATATTGATAAATTATCTGAACCAATATTTGAAACATTAACAAATGTGAGTAATATAATTCATAAAAGAAAAGAAAGTGTTAAAACATTTTCTTTTTTTGTTTTCTATTTAAAAGATTAAATCCGATGATACAATCTCATCTATTAGTACTGATTCATTAGATTCAGGTGTGTCAACATTAAGTGATTTTTCACACTGTTCATTATTATCTTCTTCATCATTGTCAACATCATTACTTAATCGTACGTCATCAATAATACCACAATCATTTCATTTAAGGTGTGATCCATCAATTATTAATTATATATCACATAATTTATTATCTAGTCATCGTTTGGAATATTTTCTCGATGAAATTAATGATGATAATATTGATGAATCACCATCAACACAAATACCTTTAGCTGAAAGTAGTCGACGTATTATTCATGATAGTGAACAGACTATTATTGCTGATGATGAAGATGAACAAATAGGACCATTAACATCAACATTAATTGATCGATGGTATACAATTACAAAA